GAGAGAGGCAAGCACGCGCAAGAAACACGGATATTTTTGTAAAAAATTATCTGAGAAGTGTCGGAAAAGTTTATAAAGATTTGAGAGAGCTGGAAAGCTTGGGATGGCCCCTTTCATGATATCACACAATCCAGGCATTTTTTGAGCAAAATATTTTTAAAACAGAGGCAAAGCGGAACTCCTCATCCCTTGCAATCAAAATTTTGAAGTTTCCTAACCATTACAGAGCCTCGAAAGAGACCTTTTTACTAAATAAGCATTATAGGGAAGGCGTTCAAGATGCAGCACCCCCTTTGCCACTACAGGAACCTGGACCTTACCCTATCATTTGACTCTGAATAAAATGTTGACAGAGGCGAAGCTGAGCTTCGCTCCACTCGCGAAACACACAGCCACCAACTCGTAAAAAATTGACGAAACGCCAAAAAAACAACCCCCGAAAATTTCAAACGTTTGTTTCATACTGAAACTCAATTTGATGAAAACACGTGGCACAACACAACAGCCAGTATTGAGCTGGCTTGAAAAACTTCGAATTGCGCTACACATTGCACTACAAAATAGTCAAAGGTAAGACAGACGTAAAACACCTGAAAAATTAAGTTGAAAAAATACTTGAAAAGGGTGAAACTACAGCTATAAAAACTTTATTGTTGTATCGGATGAAGTTCCTAAACAGCCGTAAAAACAATTGGAAATCATTCATCAAGCGGCATTAAAGGCGACCATTTTTGAGTCGAAACCTCTTGAGCCGAAAACAAAACTGCTGTCATTAAAAATTTCATGAAGTTTTAAAAAATTTTACGACACATCCATACTGAAGTTTTAAAAAACTTTACGACACATCCATACTGAAGCACACAATCCTATACGAAATTATTTTGCACTCAAAATTACGCAATAAAAGCTGACTAAATAACAAACTGTTTTAATATTTAAATTTTAAAAAAAATGAAGAAAAAAACACGCAAAATCAACTTGTTAAATTTACAAATTATTGAACTTTCAGTTATAGTAAAAAACTGTTTAAATTGGAAAAAACCTATGCTTTAAAAAGTAAGCCAAAAAAATCCCTATCATTAAAAAAACTGAAAATGATAGACAAAAACTAGGATGAAAATCACGAAGCAAAAAAAATTAATTTGAAATATTAAATACAGCCTGAAAGAGTCTATACCTAATTAATACTTAAATGATGGTACTTTTATTTGTATTTCAAGAATTTGTCAGAATAGAGATTTACCATTTCTACTAAAAATGACCATTCTGTGAACAAAGTTATTTAAGGCAAAAAATCTAGTACCCGATTGCAATATCCTTGCTCAAATATCAAGGGTAAATATTATTCATTTCCACCATGCTATTAGCAAAATTGTTCAAGGGAAAGAGTCTAGTCACTGATTACAATACCATTGCTAATCGCACGGGTTGGTTATAGTGTTCTATTCATGTCATCTTCCTCGATCTTACTTAATTGAGTGCCAAATACCTTCAACCCTTTTGCTCGAAAATACAAGAGAAACAAGGATAGGCGGTTAGTGTGCAAGTAGCACAGAATGTTCCGAACAGTCTTAAAAAATTACAAAACTATTTTTCCCATTAGTGTCGTTTTTTCGGCTTGGTGTGATAAAATAATCTGAGCGAAAAAGTAGAGCTTAGATATTTTCGTCAGTAATTGTAAAATATGAAAATTGGAAAACAATTTTTGAAGACAAATAACAAAAAAATCCAGAAAAATGATTTTTCAAGATTGTGTTCCCAAAGTTTTGAAGTATTTGATTCCTAGGATAAAACTAAATACGCCAAAAATTAACTTCATTCGAGTAAAACTTAATTTTCAAGATTTAAATTTAGCATAAAATAAGCCAATGTAAGCCTGCTCACCTGTTCAAAATTAGACGAAAAAAATTTTCAAACCGGTTTTTCTCGACAATTTTTTATGTGGTTCGAATCACGACGAAAGGGCTTTAATATGATATATCACTCAACCCAGTCCGATCATTAATTGTGGTTACTGATTTTGCGTGGAAAACAAACAGCAAAAAAAAACTTAAACACACCCGAATACAAAGTTCCTCCCCATTTTTAATGGTCGGAACAAAAAGATTTATTTCAAAAAAAGCCAATGTTGTGAAAGCTAGAGGTATAGCTTTAAAAACTTCTCCGCCATAATATGGTAAATCTTTTCAGAAAACTTACAAGAATAAATATCAGCACAGAAGCAAAATGGAGCCACACAAACTCAGCTCTGTTAGCTAGTAGACCGAAAATGGGACGGAATTTAATCATTAAGTCGATAAAAAGTTGAAAAAAAAATATCGAGTGACAACTAAGCCGACAATACTGGTGCGGACGCGAGTTGTTCCAAAAAAATAACGTTGTCAAGAAGAGCTTTCGAGCTTTTAGGTTTTGAAAGAGCCCCCTTGTTGGGGGCTCTTTCAAAACCTGTTTTTTCTTCAAAACATGTTTTTCTTTCAAACGACGCATTATTGCTCTGTCCATATAATATAAGCTCAATAGATTTAACCCGAACAAAAAGTTCAGCGAGAAAAAAGCTTTCATGCAATTCAAATATAGCGAAAAACCTCAATTTTCAGAAAGATCCGGGAAGTGTTAGCTAAACCGGCAAGAATAGGCCAACATTTTTCTTTCAAACGGAAAGTTTTTCAATTTTCTAAAAAAAAAATCAATTTTAGTTCAATATATACTAAGTTTTTGAGATAGCGAGAAAACATCCCACAGGAACGATAGCGACAAAGCGGCAGGAACGAATTGTCGAGCTTACACACAGAGGCGAAGGTAGCTTCGCATCACTTGCGATACAACGCAAGCGGATGTGCACGCTAGCGAATAAAAATTGAGACGAAAATTGTAAAATTGACAAAACAAACATTTTTTGAAAATAAAAACAATTTCAGAATACCAGTTACGAAAGACAAAAAACAGCTTTAAATCGATTTATCAGTTTTTACCGAATGGCCACTACGTGTGTAGGTAGGTAGATGCCCATAAAGCCGAAAAAACGGTGGCATGTCACCGAGCCGAATACCCGGATAGCCGAAGAATAAATTCGTTCCCGGATAGCCGAAAAACAAATTTGTTCCCGGATAGCCGAAAAATAAATTCGTTCCCGGATAGCCGAAAAATAAATTCGTTCCCGGATAGGCGAAATTTTGGATCGACTCAACAATTACCCCCCTTCTTGTACATTGTTTTCTTATTTAGGGTACCCTCTTTCTATACCCCCCCCCCCTCACGCACACACACTTAGTCCCTTCATTCTTCCTTGCCGTACTCCCAATAACCCCCGTCCCATACCCACATTTACCCCACCACGCCCCCCCATCCCCCTCCCGGCAGACAATAAAAACTATTAAGGGCCCCCAACCGAAAGTATCATCGATTATAATGTTAATACAGGGGCGGATCTAGGATTTTCTCGAGAAGGGGGGGGGCAAATGTTTAAAAAAACAGGCCAAAACGCCGTTTTTGGGATTTTTTGAAAAATTTTGACAAAAAAAATTGCGTTTTTGAGCGCGTGCTCCCCTTCAAAATTTGCATTTATTGAAAAATTTTAGGGTTTGTCGGCCGAAAATGGATATCATAAAACATACCAAAGAGGGAACTTTTGGTTGGCTAATTCAATGAGAGTAAAAGTATTAGCCAATCAAATCTCTTAAAACTTTTGGAATTTTGTTAGCTAACAGGCTGCAAAGTTTTGAGGCATTTTTTGTCCAATCAAAACTTGTCTCAATTTATCGTAGAGCTTACTGATTTAATTAAATTAAAATGGGAGGTATTTAGTTTTTCGGCTATCCGGGAATGCGGTTCCGTGGGTACGCACCGAAAAACGCCATAAAGAAATGGCTCTCATAAAAAATTTTAAGCTAACAAATTTTAAAAATTTGATTTATGCAACACTAACTACCTTAATTTTCTTAACTCAATAATTTTTTACCCTTAAAGCGACACAAAAAAGTCAACTTAAAACAAACATAAACCATTTAGGCCGAATAACGCTATTTAAAAAAAATGGGAAAAAAAGGAAAATTACAGGAGTAAATTTAAAAAAAAACTTGCATCTACGATGAAAATTGCTGACAGCACAGGAGAGTTCCGAGATGCGGCAGCTAAGCCGTCAAAATATAAGCAGACAAACAGGGTCGACATTCAATTTTTCCCAGAAAAATTTCAAACTTTATTCACACTAAAAAATGGCCCGGCTGGGACTCGAACCCCTGACTAAATTTTAAATGCATTCCGCATTACGGCTGAAAAGGTTTCAATAGTTATATCAATTGACCTTTAAGCACCTCATTTTCCACCTTAAGACGTCTCTAAAAACCTAAATTTGCGCAAAAAACGCCCTGATTCAAATTGTCGTTTATCGGGCGGCCAAACTATTTTTCTTTGTTTTCAAAATTTACGCTTTGTCTGCTATCATCTCGATAACATATCTAATTTTTTACACAGTTTATGCACTTGAGATTAAATGAATGTAAAGGCTTCATACCAAAAGACCGGCTTCGGCCAAACAAGAGCGCGATTGAAAACAAAATATGGCCAAAAAATTGAACTCTTCTAAATCCTTTTTATTTAACAGGTTTTTGACACACATTCAAGTTAAGTTCTTTGATTGAGTTCAATAACTTTGATCACATGTTTGCACAACGTCTATAATCTTAAGCAGCTGAATGGCCGATTTTCACAAAAGAGTACGTTCACAAAAACTAAATATTCACTCGTAAAGTTCACAGTTAGCTTCTATTTTGTGATACCGCTCCGCTAATAGGATTTATCTGTAGTAAAAAATCAAAAAAATAATTCAAATTTTGAGCATGAAAATAGTCCAATACAATTTTAATCTGCAGATCAATAAATGATAGTAAATAAAAAAGAGAAACGCTAATGAAAAGAAAGATGGACAAATTTTGAATAGAGTTCGAATCCAATACTTTTTCTATCAGTCTCAATAACGCGTAGAATAATCAAAATGCTGATTATTGCTCTCCTTTGAACATCATTGGAACCAAATGTTTGTCGCTGCAATCTTCTTCCACTAAAATTCTCTCCGTTTTCAACTCTACCAAAGTCGGAACTGCCGTGAGCTTCTTACGCACTCGGAACTCATTCTCCGGATTGTTTTTCCACTGCTCCTTCTCCCCCACTCCACAGGAAATTAAGACATCATTCTCACCTAGAAGAGCTTGGGCGTTTTTCTTCAGAACTGGCAGTGCCTGGTTGCAATCGGAACACCAGCTTTCACCACTTACTGGGTCTAGATTTCCCAAATACAGAACGAATAGTTTCCGAGATTCATCGAAGACCTCCTCGTTAAGAGCAGCGATTTGAGCATCGAGCGCATCAACGCCGCCATCAAATATGGAAATTTCCCGCATTAGTCTATCTTAAATTTTGAAATCACGTTTTTGAAATCATTCTTTCCTCACACCTTCTGGACACATGAGTTCACTAAGATATATTAACTTGAACAACAAAATCACCTCTACGACGATTTTTATTGTTGACTCTCGTCAGCAATGACGTGACCAGGGGGGGGGCTTAAAACGACCAATTTGATTTTATACTACAACTACTACTACTACTACTACTACTACTACTACTACTACTACTACTACTACTACTTCTTATGCATTTAGTGTCCGTTTTCTCATTGTGGCGGGGTTGTACATTCTGAAAGTGCAACAGCAATGGTATATTTGAATAGCTTGACGAACTCCAGTATTCAATTCAGATGAGGGCATTCTGAATAGCATTCAAGATATTTAATGGAAGATAACCGAAGTTTCTATGCCATTCGATGAAGGCAGTATGTGGTTTTGTGGCTTAAAGTATTCAAGTCTCCTTTAACACAATCGATTCAGCGTTTTTTAGGCCTTCCTACAGGCCTTTTCCCTGGGACTGAAACACGGTGTAAATTTAATTTCGGTGAATATGGCAAGCCATGGTAACCGTAACCGCACTTGTAGCTTGTCCACATCAACAAGATTTTTCATTTCACTTATTGATTCGTTGGTATTCTTTAACTACATTGGTCTTTATAAGTGACTCCTGCAATCTTACGCAGAGCTTTAATATCAGCACTCTTAAGAGAGCTGGATATAAACTTGTTCTGCGCCCAGATTTCAGAGCAGTACATCAGAACTGACCGGAGACAAGCTCCGTGACACCTTTTAATCAAATCAATGACTTTATTCAGTAGCAAAGAGGCAATTCACCGCCATTCTTTCAGAATTCTGACTGATGATGCACATAGTGCATCATTTTCACTCGGAAAAAATGGCACCCAGATGGCAGAATTCTTTGACAGTATCCAGGGTTTCAGATTGATTGATCCTTAGAGTAGCATTCTGATTTGAGCGATAACTGGATCGATTTTTGCATCTTGGTGTGGTCAAACATAATTAGCATCATTTTTTAGTATTTTCCTCAGACAACTGCATGTTTTATGAACCCATTGAGAACAAGAACTGAAGCGTATTTAATTGGCGCCAACTCTCTTTAAACAACAAGCTCATGTAAATTTTCCGTTTTTTTTCGGAATACACTTTTAGCCTGAAAACAAAATGCTTTGTCTTATCCAAATCAACTTTTAAACCGTGTTTTTGTAAAGCTTTGTTCCAAATATAAAATTCTCAAGTCTGGGATTCCGTTTCAGCTGCGTATAGCAGATCCCACAGTTCCGTGGAACGACAGTTTCTCGTAGCCTCTTCCATTACTATTATAAACAACATCCCGCTAAGTGCCGATCCTTGCTGCACGCCTACTTTAACTTCCAATTAATCACTGCATCCTTGATACCGGCGAACCTTTGGTTTTCGACGCGGCGTACAGACACATTATCAGTCCTACCAGATTTTTTATTTTAGAGAACTATCTGCTGCCTCAAAGCCCATGGCAGCAGTTCCTTGGGAGCACGGTTTTCGAGATGACTAAAAAAACTTCCATAAAAATCTCAAGTGCTCTCATAAAAATCTCTTTTCGACAAGTGCTCCCAATGAGAATCCCTCTCCCGATGTGACGAAACTATCAGGCATTGACGCCAAAGCCGCCTTTAGAAAAAAATTAAGGCTGGTCAACCAAAAATGGATGTCGTAAAATGGTACCAAAGGTCGACCCTTTGGAAAATTTTCGCGAAAAGATGCTAGGGTTCGTCGCTACTGCTCATCAGGTTAACCTGAACCTGCTATCTCGGGTTTTGTATAGAAAGTTTTGGGAAAAGTGAACTAACTTACTTATTCATGACGAAACATGAGATTTGTACATTATTTACAAAAACTACAGTACATTTTTACTTGATTTTATAGACTGCTTTTAAATTGTCGCTTATTTCAGTGGAATCTAATTTATCAAACAAGCTGCTTAATATAATTTTTTCCCTTTTCGACAGGAAATCCAGAGTGAGTTTAAACCTTTTCGATGTCGAGAAATCAGCCAATATCTTCAAAACATATTCATGATCTTTAGTGTTAAAGAGTTCATTCAATACTGCTATGCAATCTGAGAAAACATGTACCGGTAAGTCTGTTTTGAACACTTGATCTAGTCCAATAGTTTTCTCTTCCGGGTAGCGCATGAGAAACTTGAACTTCATTTCTGAGTCAGCCCCACATCTTTTCCATTGTAAGTTGAAGGCTGCGTGATTTGAGGGCAGTTGTGAAGAGGTTAAAGCAGTTGAGGATATTTCGGTCGAATCCGAAGACTGGTTGTGACTGGATGCGTGCATGTTCCAAGGTTGGTTTCTGGATCTAGTGAAGGCTTCGTCCATTTTCTCTCCTTTTTCTAGAGGTTTCAAGTGGGCACCGTTGACTAGTTCTCTGAAACAATCATCATTAGTTACGCGAATAAAACATCTCAAATAAATCGAAGCAATAGATAAATGAGTGAATGAAAAAGTTGAAAAGGATCCCTAGACGAAGCACCCATTACTTCTCAGGATTTCGAATCTTTTTCTACTCGATTTCGAACCCTTTACTTTGCCAATATTTGGAGACAAATTTAGGAGATACGCTCCCCTACACTCAGGAAATGTACCCACTGACCACCCACCTGGCCCCTCTTTTAGCTTTTTATCAGACTTCAGACATGTGATTTCGGCCGGCCAAACCTTACAATTTCTTTTCTCTAAGAAATTGTTTTAAAAATCCTCCCCCTTGAGAAAAATTTAGATCCGCCCCTACCACTCTTGAATTGCACTGTTTTTTACGAAATGACTCGTTCGCCACAACTTTAATTTCAACTTTACGCAAGGAAAGAAAATTATTTACCCAGCGCTTCTAAGGGAAAATATTGTCTCTAATTCTAATAGTCTTAAAGTATAGTGCTATGGCATAACGCATCCATCAATTGAGTTCTTACGCAAGTGTATTCTTAGCACTTCTAAGAATGCACTTACGTTAAAACTCAGTTGACAAATGCGTTTGCGTAAGAAGCCCATTTCTCCTAATAAAGCTAAGTAATAAGAATCTACCATTATTCGAATGCATCTGAGTTCGTTTCTTAAAGCACCAAATCACCGCTAATTAAAACAACTATCTTCGCTACAAAGACTGTTACGTGCTATGTCAGGAAAACCTGGATGACGCAGAAACAAAAATGCCCGCTCAGTATGAGCGCACTTTGATAATTAGCACGTAACTTGAGCATGCACGACAGTAAACAGGTCCAGGTTCTCACATGCGTCACTTCATGACAACGCAAAAAGCCCATTCATTTTCATTTTTTTTCATGGTTGGAGGGCTGATTTCTGTACAATATACTTCTTAAACTCCGAGGCGAAGCTTCGCTTCGCACCACTTGCGATGCAAAACAACAAAATTCGAAAGGGTCGAAAAAACAAGATCTATCAAAACTGTACGGTTGATCCAAATATATGTCAAACAATAATTCAGATTTCATTTCATAATCTTATTTCGCTGGTTGAAAAAAGTAGAGGTTAAGGTTGATTGATGCCGATTTAAATATCACCATGTCGCAGCAGTATAGTCTCCTATTGTGTACCTGAAGTGGTCGTAAGTGGGCACTCCCTGTTTGACAGCCCTGATTTTGGCGTCATTCTCCAGCCAGTACTGCTTCTCCTTCGCCACTGTCTCCTCCAGCTCCCGCTCCAGTCTGTCAAAGTTGAATTTCTGGAAATCGGAAGACATACCGGAACACTGAAAAATCGTTTTATTCTCTTCAAAAAATTTTAAGATCTGCCGCTATTATGATATAGGGAAATCACATTTTGAAATAATTAAATAAGAAAGAGTGTGTGGTTAAATATTTGAACGTTTTAAGTAATGATGATTAGGGCCCTCATGAACTCTCGCATATCGCCGCTAAAACTGCCAATACGCTTGCAATAATCTGAGTTCGGTGTTAATTATTTCAATGTCAAGAACTGGATATGCGGCTGAAAATTTTGGCTGAAGCCGTTACAATTCTCCGCCCCATTTTTACAATTGAATTTTCAATGGTATAGCAGGTTGCTATAGCAGGTTGCTCTGCAAACAAAGCAGAATGATCCCACCTCACTGATTGAAGAAAAAATTCAAAAATAAGAAAAAATTACTGTCCAAAATTACTCTAACATTGTTTAAAGAAAGGGCGAGTAAATTAATTGAAAAAAATGCACGAAAGCGTTTTCAGAGCTAGTTTAATGTTCAAATTGTCGACATAAATTTGCAGGCCGGAACTAGGATTCTCTCGAGGGGTGGGGCTTATGTTAAAAAAAATTCGAAAATTTTGTCGACCTTTTTTTAAGGTAGACCAAATTGATTTTTCTGAGCTCTCCCAAATCACTAAATTACTCTTTTGACCAAACTTTCTGCGCCACAGGCAAAAATTTGAAAAAACAAAGCGTTTATAGGCAATTTTCGAAAATTTTGACAAAAATCGCGTTTTTTCGGCGCGCTCTCCCCCCTCAAAAGCCCCCTTCCCCCGAAGCGCCTTTAGAACAATTTTAGGGTCCGTCAGCCAAAAATGGATATCTCGAAATAGTACAAAGGGGGGAACCTTTGGGTTGGCAGGGGGTCGAATCCCTGAGGGAGGTGGATAATGTTGCGTCCACCCCTTCAAAATCCGCTGTTGAGGCCAGCCAATAACCAAATTCCTGTTAGCATTTTAGTCTAAATTAATTCAGAAGCGGAATACAGTTTGATTTAAATTATCCGGACAAAACGCAAAAACCTTGAAATTTAAAACGAGTTTTTCTCACACTGGGTTGCATGTAGGTGAAAAATAATGAGGACAAAACTTGCTAGAATTTCACCAGAAATAATATTGTGTTTTGTCGAAATACGCAACCAAAATTTTCCGTCAAAACTGGGTCACATTTCGCCTTTTTAAGTTTATCAAAAATAACGCTAACACTACCGAGTTATTTGATCAGAAAGTTATATCAAAAGAAACCTCATACACAGCCCAACAAAATTTTACGAACCTGCAAAAATTTGGGCAAAACGGTTGAGTTTTGGTTATAAGCAAAGACTTTGATTTTTATACAGTAAAATTTGAAAAAACAAAGCGTTTATAGGCAATTTTCGAAAATTTTGACTAAAAATTGCGTTTTTTCGGCGCGCTCTCCCCCTTCCCCGAAGCGCCTTTAGAACAATTTTAGGATCCGTCAGCCAAAAATGGATATCTCGAAATAGTACAAAGGGGGGAACCTTTGGGTTGGCAGGGGGTCGAATCCCTGAGGGAGGTGGGGATGTTGCGTCCACCGCCTCCAAAATCCGCTGTTGAGGCCAGCCATTAATCAAAGTCCTGTCAACATTTTAGTCCAAATTATTTAGAAGCGAAATACAGTTTGAATTAAATTATCCGGACAAAACGCAAAAACCTTGAAATTTAAAACGAGTTTTTCTCACACTGGGTTGCATTTAGGTGAAAAATGATGAGGACAAAACTTGCTAGAATTTCACCAGAATTAATATTGTGTTTTGTCGAAATACGCAACCAAAATTTTCCGTCAAAACTGGGTCACATTTCGCCTTTTTATGTTTATCAAAAATAACGCTAACACTACCGACTTATTTGATCAGAAAGTTATTACAAAAGAAACCTCATACTCAGCCCAACAAAATTTTACGAACCTCCAAAAAATTGGGCAAAACGTTTGAAATTTGGTTATAAGCAAAAATTTTGATTTTTATACAGTAAAATTGACCTTATACAGTAAAATTGAGGATAACAAGCAATAATATGTTCTCTCATACAGATTTTTGGAGATTTTACACTTGTAGAGATTTGTTGAATGTATAAGAGGCTTCTGATATAATTTTCTCTTCAATTAACTTGGTAGTGTTAGCGTAATTCTTTATACAGTAAAAAAGGCGAAATTACCCATTTTTTGCGGAAAAATTTTGGTTGCGAAATGCGACAAAAAAGAACAAGAGTAATTCTGGTGAAAATCTAAGCAAGTTTTGTTCTCTCCGTTTTATTTTATCTACACTGAGAAAAACCAATTCGAGAAAAATTTTGTAATTTTTTTTTGCAATTCGAATTATGTTCAATAGGGCTTAAACATGAAATCACACTTGTCCCCTGCGAGCTCGTTTGAATTAGTCAAAAGTGGAGTAAAAAAAAACAAATCTGACGCAAAGGTTCCAGCAAATCCCAGTTCAAAGCTTCAGAAAATACAAGATATCACGGCTGAGCCATCAAAAAATGAACTGATCAATATTGACATTTTTCGACTCGATATTCACGACTTCCAACTTGCATCTAAGCAACTTACTTTGCAAACGTTTTGACATTCAAATCAATTTCTTAAACTACTGCAAACAACATCAAGTTTCACTCAAATTCAGCTCACAGGGAACTTCAAATACAAAAGCACAATCATACAAATTAGAAATACCGTTAATACCCGCAGTGCTATTTGATGGGTTCCTTAACACGAACTGAATAGAAGCTGTTTTTAAGTTCAGCCCTTCTTGATATGGTGCTAGAAACTTGTGTTTTTCTCCAGGCCTCAAGTTTCCGTTCAAATAAAAACAAATCGATTCACAGCTTTCATCTCCCTTCAGCATAAACAAGCAGAAAACAGCCTCATTTTCTTTAAATAGGTATTCAGTTTTGTTCTCAATTAATAAAATAATCATTTTTTCATTAAATTCTGTTAATTTAATGTTGAGAAAAGACTTGAAGGAAGATCTTCCGCAGTGTTGATTTCTGTTCAAAATCGATAGTAACTCCAAGAAATCATGGGCTGATTTCGTTTTAGAATGGGCACACGCAATTTGTTCAGTTGTTTTTCCAATTGAAGCAAGCTTCATGTCTAAATTGTCATCACTATGTGAATTTTCATTATTAGAACAAGCATCGGCGTCGAATACAAAACCAAATTTGTTTTTGAAGATTAAATTTCCTGTTACAAGATTTTCGAAGATCGAGATAACATTACGACAAGCATATACTTCAGATTGGTTCAAAATTTCTTCAAAAATACCAGCACTTTCATTATCTTGCTTCGCGCTATTTACTTTCATGATTTTCATCAAGTCTTCAGTTTTAACTTTCAGAATATTTCTACCATTCGAAGTGTAGAGAAAACCTTTTATTACAACAGCTTCTTCAATTTTTCCTGGCATCATGAATCCTACTTTGGCAATTTCCGAATTTTCAACGGCAATTAAAAACGAGAGCCCATTATCAGCAATAAAAATATTTACGTTAACTTCCAATTGTAAGTAGAAAACAGTTTCTGAGTGTAAATTAAACAAGACAACTGGGTTTACTGATTCATCGTCTCTTTTTTCCAACTGCACCAATTGGCCATCAGGTAACAGAGACAATTGAAGCTCATCGCTTTCGCCCAAACAATGAATTGGTACATTCCGCAAATTGGGCAAACTTCCTTGCGCGGAACAATTACTAACATCTGAAGTTTTGATTGAAACCAGTTTAAATCCGTATGCTCGGTAACAAGAATTTGCTAGAGGAACTTTCATCGCGTGTCCATCAGGTAAACTTACTACCCATGATCGACCTTGGAGCGACAGAGAAGCTCTTTTCATTCCCATCGGCACATGTCTTCTAGAATGATAAGCGCCGTTTTAAACTATTCAGCTATAAAACAACCATGCAATAAGTAAAACAAAGAAAAGTTGAATCGTATCTTCGCCGATGTGATATAGAATTTCCTCGTTGTTACAGATAGTACTTTTTCGGTTATTATCAGGATAACAGGTTGATTGAACGAAGGCTTCTCAAAAAAAATGTTTTCAAGCTAAATGTTACTACCACTCTTTGAGAGGGTAGTCACTAAGCCGTAGCGTTAGTTTTTTTTTCAAGATTATGGATTTGTTCAGAAACACTCGGAGTGAGTCGATTGGGGTGAGTCCTGATTCGGATTCCAAAACGATCAATTCACTACCCGCCTTACAAAAATCTTATATCTTAGGAGTGTCACTCAACAACTTCCTCAAATGCGATTCAAATAGCACCAGTGATAAACTCCAGAAATGCAAAATCTACTTAGAAAGCTCTCAGAAATAAACTGGTAATGCAAAGGAACACTCAGCATTACTTGAACAGGCCATCGGGCGTACTGTTTTGAATTATGCAGCACATGTCTGGGCACACTCAGTAAGCGATTCTCGCTAGAAAGATCTGCAAACTCAAATTGTAACTGGCTGCAAGAATTAAACATCTTCAATAGGAAACAGAAACACTGCCAATGAAGGAAGACAATGAAAAATTAAGCAAGCAAACTATAACTGGGTGCCATCAAACACAAAAATGTGACTACCACAAAACCAAAGACAACCCAATGTCGACACTTATCAAACCAATACTAACCTGAAAGTAATATGGCAGCATTAAAAAATATCCTGAAGACGATCAAGTTTCACCTGATCAAATCTATGTCACACTAAAGACGATAGACACTAACGCAATTAAAAAATAAGCAACCAAACTTCTTTATAATTCTACGGACTCCTTATATCCAGATACAGCTTCGGAAGAAACCAGCCCTGTCAGAACTTCACGATGTACTCTTGCGACTTCACTGTGGTAATAACACACATCTAAATAGTTATCTGTCGATAATGGATCAAAAGATCGAAAACAAATGCCCCATCTATAAGGCTAGTTCACATGACAACACAACCTCCTTAATTGTCCTTTGAAACCAACCACATTAAGAAGTGATGACCTTTAGGACAACCACGTTAAGAATTGACGACCCTTAGGACAATCCCAATAAGTCTCAAAAGAGCTCAACTTTCTGACAGAACGGTGAGCTCATTAAGAGTTCGAATTGGTTCTCTGCACTTAATAAAAACCACCTGCTAGAACCAGGAATGGAGTTTAGCTGGATTTTATGTCAAAAACGGCCCCTTACAACTGCCTCTTAGTGAATCCTGGGAAAGCCAAAATGATGGTTGACGGACAAGAAGAAATATTTAATCAAGCTTAACAATCTTGGATTGGGAACTACAGAGTTGGACAAATACCCCTGTTTGCAGCTACAAACGACAATACACAACCTTCCGCTGAGAATTATGGCAAAAAGCAACAAAAAAAGGATCATATTTGTTTACGCAGATGTTCAAAACTACTTGACAATTGAAAACCAAAAACAGGAAATAATCCAGCTCAACTGCTCGATGAAGCAACTACAAAATCTATAAAGGCAACTAAAAAACCAAAAAGGCAGCAATTTTCAAGCGTTTTCATGAATTATACGCCAAATAAAATTTATCTGAAGTTTCAAGCACCTCAACTTGCCTTTGAAAAACACCTCTTGTGAATTATACACCAGGTAATTAACCTCTTACCAGTCTGAACTCTAACAATTGCAAAAAAGAAAACAAATTAAAAATATATATTCTGCGTAAACTTCAAAAAAAAATTTTTCGATTGAACTCGCATTGAATTTTTTTGAACTTCTCAAGTCGCAATAAAACAGCATGTAATGAAGTTTTGCCTGTATCAGTCAGTCTGGTTTATAATTTTTCAAAATCATAGACCTAATCAGATTTAAACACATTTCGAGGGTAAAAATTGTTTAAAAAGGCGGGTATGCATGGTCGCATGAGCTCACTCCTACCTCAAACTTGTGAATTAAAAACGGCCCTTTAGAAAATTCATGATTTAGGAAGGTCTAGAACAAATAGATTATTAGAAAAGTGTTGACCAAATTTGAACTTTGAAAATGTTGTCACTTCTAACTGAATTGACATATAAATCTGATTTTTCACAGGATGACAGCTGAGATGTGGATTTTTGATAATTCATTAACTAATAAATTTTTTTATTTTTCTATCATGCTTTTGTGAATTGTTCACGCCAATTTTTTCAATCTCGCGTGTTTTCTCGCAGAAATAAAAGTCACAAATGAACAGCGCAAAATTATTATTTGCAAGTTTGCAGTATCTACACAGCTTTTCGTGACCGCATTATGAGTCATCATTCTCAAATTCCTTGGCCGGGCCAAAGTCCTGACCTGAATCTTCTTGTCTACTGGTACTAGGGTTATGGTTGCGCTTCAACTCATGGCGAAAACCCCGGACCACTACCGAACTAATCACAAGTGTCGGAAATTTCTGTCGTATGGTCACACGGGACCAAAATTTATCAGCTACTGCTTCCGTCCACGAACGCATGATAATATGTCACGAAAACAATTCCAGCTTCTCTTAACATGATTAATTTTCTGAATTATCAAATGTACACATCTCTTCTATGGCGTGTTAAATTTTTAAGGATCTGCATCATTTCATTTGGAAATGAACGCCTTTTCAAATGTTCATAGGTTTTGAATCATCCTGTGTGTTTTGAAGTTTTCGGCTAAAAAACCTGATTTGAAAAATATTGCAAGCTGCAAAAGCAAAGTCATTATCCGATTCAAATATTGAAAACGGATAAAGAGTTCTTCGTACAACTTGCGCATTGACACAAAAATATTATGGCAATTAGCCGAAAGAAAATGAAACAGAAGCTACTGAGCTGAAAAAGAACATCAATCGAACTTTATACGCTTTTGTCTTGATTGAAGTTCAATTTGAAGAAATTATGTCAAGAAAGACCATTACAAGAGTTGAAAACAAGAGACAGTTGATAAGCCAATTTTTTTTGAAAGACTGGTTTTAGATCGAAGAATTTCACTTTCTTTGCATATCCAGAATCTGATGATTGCAACTTTTTTTTAGATAAAACTAACGTAATAAGAGAAAATTGGATCAATAGAAAAAATTGATTGGGATATCTAAAAATTAAAACTTTGAAATTGAACATTTTTGCTTAGTTGCCTTCCTTTTGGCAAATGGATTGGAAGTGAACTTAAAACGAAAGTTAAACTGGGAAAAATGAAACTCGAGCGTGAACAACTTCTGAGAATTCTTCGTGAAAAAGCGAGAAAACAATATGATTATTTTAAGGGTCATGAGACGTGAATTAACAGTTGATTTAAATTGTTACAAAATTTATATTGATGGGTAACAATGTAGACTAATTTTGTGTCGCTTGATGAACTGAGTTCTTAAGCCCGCTTCCTTAAGCACAGATTCATAATTAGATGTTTTGCCCTTCAAACGAAACAACGTAAAGGTAATAAATCGATTTTAGGACTTGCCAAATCTTTCAAAGCTAAAAACAAACAAAACTTACATAATATTGGAACTCATCATTACAAAAATTTAAAAACTGTGTTCTCAAATGGTTTAAAAAATCGAGCCTACAAGAAAAAAAAATGAAACAATGCCGTAACTAGGCTGACCAACACAAACATACGTACGATGATATTAAAAGTCGATTTTAAGGACTAAGGTAAAAACAAAAACAGGTCCTGCCCAGGCGGGAACACCTGGCCTAAGTCATCCCAATCATGGGCGTTACAATTCTAGGCAAAATGGGCCAAAACCGTCAACTTATTATGCAGCACGCAACATCTCACTAGCGAATATGTTTTTTACGCCATTCCTGCTCTCATTACTACTTGATAGGCTAATTTACTCCTTCAATTAAAATATCTTAGAGAAAAATTACTTTAATTACCACTGCGGAATTGGTAGATAATAGCAGAATATTTGGTGCATATACAAAACAGTCCCATACAAAACAGTCCCATACAAAAGAGTCCGAAACATCAAAAAAAGGTTCTAAAAAACAGTCCCATACAAAACAGTCCAAAACCAGTTGAATTTCATGACCTTGATCATTTGGCGCCGACAGAATTGATCTACGCTTTGAAAACTCAAACATGGGCAATTAAAGATCAAAGAGCCAAATTTGGAACAATAATTCGGATGAAAATCAAAGGACTCATGGTATAGTGGTTAAAGCGTTAGTCTCAAACTCTAGAGATCAAAGGATCGAATCTCCGGCGGCACAAAAATATTTCCAATTTTCCGAAAAAAGTTGAAATTCGGGTAAATATGATAACGGGTATATCTAGGGTACAACAAAGGGTTCAACCTTAGAGGGTTGGGCGGAGGGAAAAGAAAAATCAACACCTTGTATGTATTCATTATTTTGCCGGTTTCATATCAAATCTGGGCTTCTGTCGTCCTTGAGAAGTCAGTCTACCAATATATGTCCTCGAACTAATTGAAAATTGGCTGACTTTCTTCAGATGCCATACCTTGCAGAAGCTCGAAAGCTGTGGGGACGTCCTCTACGGGCAGAAATGCTGTTGCGAGAAGCATTCGAATCGAATAAGTTCGCGAAAATTAAGGTCATTGTTGTAATTGTGAGTATTGCCTGATGACTGAACATGTCGCCAGACACTTTGACTCATATGGAAAAAACAAAACTGAATTTGAGCACTCTGATGGGTAGCTATTATCGAGTTTCGCACAGCTACTTCAAAATCAATTGTGACGCGTTTTGGGGAATCAACTTTAAGAATACTGAGAAGGCGACAATAAGTTGATTCCTTTTTGTCGGGTAGCAGAGCGTAAACAATAGGAATAAGGCATCCTTCAACAGAAGCGTGTATAGTATAAATCTGATAGAAAACATTGGGAGCAGTCGAAAACGTTCCATCACAGAACCAATCATCCGATAAAGATAGTAAGTCTAATCCAGGTAACGTGGCGAACACAATAACCCGATTTTCATCTTGGGGACCAGAATCGTGAAGAAGGAACTGCTCTCCATCGTGGGTTTTATGTAGAGCCAGTGGTAGTTCAAAGCCAGTCAGCGATGTTGGCTCTGCCATCTTTGGTCTTTTTTTGCGTCGAACTCTATTTACAGCTTGCTGATTAGCAGATTAACTAGGTAAATGAACAGCTGTTTCTCGGTTCACATCACGTTGGGCTGCGAAAATAGGGTTACATGTCAGTATTTAGACAGCCGCGTATTCATACTGGTCAGTATTTAGACAAATACTGTTTCAACCAATCAGAATCGAGACAAAGAAGAAATTAATAAATAATTATTATTTATTTTGGATTATTTATGTTTTTTCTCGATTCTGATTGGTTCATACAGTATTTGTCTAAATACTGACCAGTATGAATACGCGGCTGTCTAAATACTGGCTGCACTCCGAAAATAGTCTGTCGCGGTGTTACATCGGATACTGCTGCTCGATCTTTGAGTGTTTTTCTGAACTTACGTTTTTCGATGTCAGCTGGATCGGGGAAGTGGCAGTGATTTTTAACGATCTCAACGGAGTCGTCCTTTGTACGCACACGGCCATTGCAGCTACTTTGTCCGCAGCGCCAGGAAAGGGAGTTGTCTGCCAGTGTTCTGTGTTTAATATAAGCATACCCTTCAAAAATCAGTAACTCAGAATTTTTGTTTGTAAGTATGATTTCCATCGATAGATAGTGAATTTCGTTTCTATTGAGTGTTGTCAAGTGTTTGCAAATGAAACAGATTGAACAACTTGTCTCTTTTTGCTTAGATTAAAAAAAGAGTCCACTTTCTTAAATTGCGTTAACTTTAATGTTTCGAAGATTATTGCTTTTACTGAGTGGCCGCTGCTGTTATCTGGGTTGTTCTAATTTCTCTAATATACTACCTATTGTTATCCGGATTAGTTGGAATCAAAATGCGTTTAATATGAGATAAATTTACTTATCAGCTTCTAGAACAATTATCACTTCGATCAATGGGACTGTTTTTTGGACTATTTTTGGGACTGTTTTGTATGGGACTGTTTTTTTGAACTTTGCTATGTTTTTTCGGACTGTTTTGTATTGGACTGTTTTGTATGGGACTGTTTTGTACAGACACGGAATATTTGGATTACTGCTGTAAAAATTTGTAGTAACACTAATATAACTATTGAAGCACCAGCCATACAAACCATTGTTTAAGAAGTAGGAAATTAATACAAAGGCAGGATAGCAATAAATAGTTAAATTTGTCATAAACTTGAAGCACCAATTAGTTGGACTTTGTTTTGAAAACTTGATTCCGGAAATGAACTAAGGGTCTTTTGCGTATTCCACCCAATTTCACAAATCTCATACGATGCGAGCAGAAATTAACTTATTTAGACTAAATTGATCGGTTTAAGAAAGGTCATTTAATCAAACTTAGAAACCGAGGCGTTCAATTATTTCTGATGAGCTATTCAGTTATTTGCTGTGAATGAGCAGAAAAACCCTAAAATAAATTTATGCTAGAAAAAGCATCATTGGCTGCATGTTTTTTACAGAAATAGAATAATGAGTTTGTTCCTCAGCACCTTGTTATATTTTTGCTATCCACATTTTTAATCAAACCCTTTACCATTTTATAGATCGGCTCGATTCTAATGATTGATTTAGCGGTTGGACAATCCTATGACCCGAACAAAGACTGACGAACAACTTTCTTCTTGGATGAATTCGGCTGAGATTTGAGGTCCTTTTTCAACTTAGTGGGAATCGCTGATGAACTTGATTTGACTTTATCCGATTCTCCGACCTGCTTAGTTTCATTTCGTCCACTGAGAGGCCTTTCATTTGGTACAAAACTTAGTTTAGATAAAGGTACGATTCCATTGGATGACTTCGGCATTTTCTCTGCCTTTATTTCAATCGAACTATTCGACATTGAAACTCTTGGTTTATTGAAAACAGGCGCTGTTGAGTTATTTCTAAAACTACTTCCTGAGCTAACCACACTTGATAGCCTTACTTTGGGAGGCACCATTTCCATGGCATTTGTTTGCGTTTTAAACTTTTTTGGGTCGTTAAGTGTCTTCAGTCCTCGCTTGGCGAGAATTTCAGCGCGCGAAGGTATCACCACGGGGGCTTCAGTCAGCACCGGTTTCGATTTCAGAATTGGATCAGAAACAGTTGAAGTTTTTGATTTATCAATAGTGAACTTAGCTTCACTTCTCTTTCTCATTTGCTCTTTTTGCGGCGAATTTTGTGCCAAGTAACGATCGCGACCTGTTGGCCGAGAAACGACGGAAGTGTACTTAGTCTTTCGTTTAGGAGCCTCTGCTTCAATTAGATGCTGGCTCACTTTCGACTTCAGTTGCTCTAGTTTTTTGTCTCTGAACTCACACAGGCTCACATAGTATTCGCACCAGCCTTGATCGTTCTCCTTGCGCAGCTCCGCATTTTTGAATTCACGTCTGCAGAATCCCTCCCAAAGGTGTTCAGTGTCCTCTATCAAGTGCTGAAACATTTATGGGCTTAATTTAAGCGATGAAAAATTTCAAAGTCGAAGAAACAGATTTTTGCAAAAGGAACGGCGAAAAAGAGCTCTAAAACCAGCTCATAGATATTAAAATAGATTCAGAAATCGATCTTGAAAAACTCAAATTGTCACAAGAAAAATGAATGTGTGATCAAACATAACTTAACCAAAAAATTGCTTAGATGTCTTTAACATGTTGAGTAATAAAGAAAATAAAGATTACCGGATTGTGCGATTCGATTCGCATCAGTTGCATCGGATTACACTTGTCCAAGACATCCTTTAAGACATCATAAGGAAGATCACCTACTTCATCGATCGCATCAATGTTTGCTGCCAGCACTCTTATACAGAGCTCAAATAGCCGAGGTACACGTACACTTTCTAAACCACACAAGACTCGCTGATAACATTTTATTTAAAACAAAAACATTTTATCACTTGCGATACAGGATGAGAGCAACGCAAAAAATGAAAGTAAGCTCAGGAAAAAAATAAGCTTTAAAAACAATAAGATTTTTTCGACTACGTTACTCAAAACACGGATCACGAGATTATCAATCCGGGGCCCCCACCATCTGGCCTTGCTGCCCAATACAGCCAACACATCCTTTAAAAACAACTAGCCTGTAACACACCTCCAGTGCTTCGAATTTTTAACAACACATAAAAAACCGCATATAATGGAAATAAGATTTGCATCCTTCGAGTGTAATTACAGGGCTCATAATTACAAATTTTGCTAAGTTTTTTTATTCAAGAATTTTTATATAAATTTTGCCCTTCAAACGAAACAACGTTAAGGTAATAAATCGATTTTAAGACTTGCCAAATCTTTTAAAGCTAAAAACAAACAAAACTTACATAATAATGGAACTCATCATTACAAAAGATAGTTTTTTGAAAATCAGACAAAAGGTCAGTCACATCTCAAAAACTACCAAGATTTGAGCAGTCTTATTTGAAGGCAGTATTCGCAATCCTTGACAGTACTCTGACAGCATACAACTACAAGGTTGGGCATTTCAATTTCGTGAATTATTTTTGAATTTGAGTTTTCTGAAAATTTCTGAAAAAAATCACAAAAAACGTCGAATCTCGTAAGCTGAAAAAATTTGGGCATTCTTAGTTGGAGGCGAGAATCATAACTCCTGAAAATACCCTGACAGAATCTCACTATAGAGAGTCGAACTTCAACTTTTTCAGAAAAAAAATTAAGTTTTCCGAAATTTTTTGAAAAAATCCTTAAAAACGTCATATCTCGAAGACTACAAGAATTTTAGCAGTCATATTCAGAGGCAACATTCGCAACCCCTGAAAATACTCTCTCACAGTTTCCAACAGCAGGATTGAGATCTTCAACGTTTTGTGGAATTTTTTAACATGTAAGTTTTTCTGAAAATTTTGGAAAAAATCATGAAAAACGTCATATCTTGAAAACTGCAAGGATTTGAGAAGTGAGACTTAGAGGCAAGATTAGCAACCCCTGACAGCACCCAACTACAGGGTCAGAATTTCAAATTTTTAGAATTTATTTAAAATAAATTTTTTAGATATTTTTTGAAAAATCTCGAAAATTGCCGTATCTCGTAAACTGAAAGTATTTGATTATTCATATATGGAGGCCAGTATCGCAGAACCTGGGAAAACCCTGACAGCATCCCACTATTGGGTTGCTAATTTCAAATTTGATGAAATATACACTGAATTTAAACTGGAAAACCGGAAAAAATCTTAACCATTGCAATATACCATGTAGCTTAAACGTGCAAAAATTCTTTTGTTAAACATGCAAAAATAATACGTTGAAAAAGCTTAAACACGGCGAGATATTAAAGCCCGCATTTAAATATATAATTAATTACCAAGTTTTGTAGAAATACTTTTAGATAGTCGAAGCGTTAAACCTCTTATTTATTGAAACATTTTTCATAGGACTGACCGAAATGGAGAAAACTGTGTCAAAAGGTAACTTTTTCAATCCGCTGGAAATTATGATAAATAAAACGTATTTTCGAACAAAAACTAATACAATCTTTCCGGAAAAAAAATTAAGCTTTCCGAAAAAAATTTAGAATTTTGCCAAAGATATAACAATTCTCTTACCAAAATTTAAGGAGTAGCCTAGAAAAACCTGGTCGCAGCAAAGTATAATGATAAGCTTCCAACAACCTGTTGTGTCGATTTAACCTATGATATCAGATTTGGCAGGTTTGTTGTCGAGAAAAGTTAAAAAGTTTCAAAAAACAGTCAAAAAATCAAAATTTTGACATTTCTGCGAGTCATAGTGTTTCGTGTAAAATGGGCGTAGTCGCGTAAGTAGAGGAGCTTCACAGAACCCGTTCTTAAGATTGCACCCAAGATTTCAGATTTGTGAGCGTATTCATAAATTTAGAAAAAAAAATCTTTCAAAAATAAAAAAAAAGACTTTTCCGAGGACCTTAACCTTGTGTAAAAAAAATTGTGATTGTCCGCTAAAGCAGGTGAACTTCATACTCGCCTTTTTCTCCACTGAACCCTTAATCTCAGATTTGGTAGGTTAGTTTGAGAAAACGATAAAAAATCAAAAATGTTGGTCAAATATTCCCCCCACAGACTTTTTGGAAGGCTGTAGACAAAGATGTAAATAAAACGAGACCAGGCGAGTATGCGGGCGGTCTTTCTATAGACACCCCTTTTTTGAACATGGGTAGAAGGGTTTTTTAAACTAAATTTTTTTCAGAGCGTTTCAAAAAAATTGAAATAGAAAAAACCCATCCCATACATTTTCATAATACCTGTTTTTTTATCAAACAGGAACTCTAGGCAAACATGCCAAGAAAGAAATTAAGTAATTATTCAAATTAGCAATTGAACAAAAGTTACGAAGCTGAAACAAGGCCGAGAATCTTTACAACAGTTGAGCCGAAAAAAAATATTGATTTCGTAAAAAAAAACTCCAATGAAAACTGTAAAAACCTGTAAAAACTCAACCCACCCAGCAGTTAAATTTGAATTTTCGTGAAATTGAGCATGGTGATTCACAAGTGCTGCAAAGTGATAAGTCATTTAGTTAATTTTGTTTCAGTAGTTGTTAACCCGAAAAAACGTATTCCGATTTGATATCACTTACTAATCGCAAGTATAGACATAGCCAACAGACATTTCGAAAGAGTCATAGAATGCAAAGAAACTTCAACTTTCGAATTTCAAACGAAAAATTACATGTCTTTAATGCTCTTTGACTTTCAAGACCAATTTATAATTGGCACTATTTAGATAAAACTAACCCATTTGAAAAACTGAATTATTAGAAAAATTCCGCTGGAAAATCTAAAGATTTATTTCCACTTTCGAAAAAAGAAATCGATCACGTTTTTTCCCGCCATTTCAGCTTTCATAACTAGAGAAGGCATTTAACCTACCTTCTAGCGAATGAACAAGAATTGAACTCAAGTATAGCCAACAGACATTCGTAAAACTGACGAAATAAAAGAACGAAGTGAATTGGTAGAAAAATCAAAAACCAAAGCACTAAAAAATGAATTCTATAGTGAACAAGTTTTAAAACTTTTTATATGCACTGTGATGAGAACCAGGAATTATGAGACATGCTATCCAAAGTTTACTAAAAATTCCAGCAGAAATCATTTAAATAATTTAAATCAGTTTCTTTTATAGAAACAAAGTTTGCGAATTTATAACAATCAGTGAAAACTTTCAGATTTCGAGATTTAGATCACGATATCTGATAAAAAAGGAAATAATTTAGGATTTTTTCTGTATTTAGTGGGTATTGAGTCACCCGTGGATAATTTGATATCACTAACCATTCACTGATGTATCGTAGCGTTTTGACCGGCTGTATAGTTTAGGCATTGTCCTCTTGGATACAATTGCTAGTTTCAGATCGTTGCTTTTGGAATCCTTTGACGTCTCCGTCGGCAATCTCGATGGGCTCGCTGAAACAAGTGTAGTTAAATTCCAAATCCACAATCCAGCTTGGAAATTACTTTTGAACGAAACTGTGCGGGGCTGAGATTCATTACGAACTTCAGAAGAACCTTACACAGAGGAAAAACATAACCAACAAACAAGAAGTGCTTTTCAAGATATGGTTGATAAAACTCCAGCCAAAGATATTTTTTCTGTTCCCGCTGTTGCTAAATAACATTTATACTTCATTCATTTCATTCCTAAATAATCCTGTTATTTTTAATAATTGAGTATACGTAATTTTAAGTCTTTTAAAACTAGTAAGTAACGGCAAAAAGGAGCCCTAGTAATTCAAAACTTAGCCAGTAGACAGTGGCGAAAGGAAACGTAAAAACACTGACTTGTTTTTCGACAAAACTTCAACTTTCGAATTTCAAAGTTAAAAATACATGGCCTTAAAGCTCTCTGAATTTCAAGAACAATTTGTGATCTGAAATTTTTGCTAAAATGAACTCTATTTGAGAAAACTGGATTAATAGGTAAGGTTTTTATTTCGCTGGGAAAATCTAATTAAAAATACACTAACGAAATTAGAAGTAGATCACATTTTTTGCGACCTTTATCCTTTCGCTACTCGATAGAGGAGTTAACCTTCCTTTTGAGAAAATGAGCTGAACTTAAAAAAAATCATAATTCAAGCGGCAAAAAATCAAATTTGAGCGCTAAAAATTTTTAAAGTTTTCCTGAAAAAAATCATCACCACTTATATACGAATCTTCATTAGGTTCATCGACTCTTAAAAAAATACGAATAAATCAATTGGAAAACAATGCTACGGGATTCGAATCAAGAGTCTTCTGCCTTCACCTCTACACCGCAGTTAACTAGATTATACTACTCCCAAACATGACTTCTAATTAAATAACCAGGCTGCAGTGAGGCCGCTTTAATTAAGCAGACACACAATAATTGGAGTGGAATCAAAATAAAATCTAAAACTAAAAGAAAGAGCGAATTGAACAGAAAAATTTACACAGGGGCGAAGGTGCACGTTCCGGACACCAGCAAATGGGAGCTTTAAATTGCCAAAACAACCAGGTTTGAAAAATAAAAAATTGGCTCTTATCGGGATTCGAACCAGAGATCCCCAGTGTCCACTGTCTTCTTAAATGCGCTAAGAAATTGTCAATGCAAAACACAATGCAGGGAAATAATTGTTTATTGAACACTAATTTCGATTGAAAAAAATGAACTCCTGAACTACCACAAGTAGAGAGAGGAAGTTTGTTAGTGCAAGGATTGGTAACCAAGCTAATTCATTGAGAACAAAATTATGCGAGTTCGAGAGGAAAAACTAAAACTCGTAATATAAGTTGCGAAATGAAAAGATCTTATCATAAAACCGTTGATGGTGTAATGATACTAACCATGAGGCACGCTCCCATTTATCTGATTATTTCGTTTCAGCTCAGTTATTTTGTTTGAGGCAGCCTCAAGCAGTTGAGGGTTGAAGACAGGCGGGAAAACAATATCGGGAAGCTCCGGAATATCCAACTTGGATTTTTTGAGCGGCGTCGGCAAGAACAGATCGGATGCCATGATAATCTGAAGAAATTAAAACGGGATAAATTCAGCCTAAATTAAAACTATGAATTCAACTTGACTTTTTCATTGAAATAGTGTGATCCCAATTGTTACTGATCTTCAGAAAAAATGAGTTTGTTTAAAAATCTGTTGTTATTAAGTTAGTGTTTGATATTTATGTAAATGCAGGCAGTTCAATCGTTCGAAAACTCAATCGAGTATTCGCGTATTCTTTTGTGGAAAGTTTTTCGGAAAAACTAAATGGCATTTTCTACAATGTAGAAGATACTTCTGAATTGGTTATTTTTGTCCACAGAAACAAGCCACAACTACGAGCTGTGAAAAAAACTTGTTCATTGCCCACAACCAAATCTTAGGATTAGCCTTATTGTTGTGATAAACTTATTAAATAGATTTGCCCATTACCCATTCACATACCGTGTGATTTCAAACTAATTGAGCCAGTGGACTGAATCTATCACACACTTTTAGCAAGTCCCACGCCTCTAGCTTAGAAGATGAAGATTTGATAATGGTGTACCTCATTGGAGCCAGTTCTATCAAAGGTGCAATTTGATCAACACCAATCAACGTGAAGACAGCATTGTCCCGTATCTCTTTCACACCAAAAGGTGTAACATTCGCCCGGAAGATACATATCGACGGAAAACAAAACTAAGTCTTAAGACGACTGGCTAACGTCTAAACAGAGCTTTTCATGCTTTTCACCGTCTCTACCAAGCCAGTACTTTTCGGTGGTCTTTTCCAACATCGGGTCGACAAAAACGTTACTGCTTTCGGCTTCGGTCAAAACACTCAAATTAATTTAATTACATGCAGAAATAGTGAGCTCATGGCTGGGTCTCAGTATCCCTAGACCACGAGGTCACTCCTAAAAACAGGGCTACTACTTATTATATTACTATTGTTTTTGTTCAGTAGATAAAAATCATCATCTCCATCGAAGATGGATCAACCCTTTCCCCCAACTCCTAGCTTCTCATCCTTATCAAAATGAATCCAGTTGTTAATTAAATTCAAATCAGGACATGACAAGAAGCTAAAAGTCTATATAAAAGAATAAAAGTCTCAGTTCCGAAACCCTTCCGGATTCTTGAATCCACTGAATCAAGCTCGTTAATCTTGATTTCTTCTTAATCCGGAAGGCTGTCCTCCACCCTTCACCGTTGTCTGCAACAGCCTTGCAACTATTGTAGCGACACAATAGTTGCAACTCGGAGTGTTCACTGCTATTCCTGCAATCTGCTATTGTTTTTTTCTCACAATTTTCGTACTTATCGTCCGCGCAACTAATGTTGTTCTGTTTTTCTTAGTTCTTTTTGCTAAAATGGTCGTTTCTGACGTTTCTCAGAAATGTTACGTAATCACTTCGAAAATTTAAAAATTAGCAATTCCCGAATCCTTTAACCTTCACGTTTTGTTCAATCGTTCAAATAACGTTCTTAATTCTTAATAATCACCAATCCGGAAGGCTCGCTGCTAAAATTCGAATTCTGCAGAGATTGCATTTTGGCCATTCTGGTCGAATGTCACATACTCCCCGGACAGTCCGGTCAATGTCCTCATTGAATCACGCAATGTTCGTAAAATAGATACAGTGTCATCGAACAGAATTTACAAAATGCACGAAATTACTTTTATCCACGTCACATCGACTCACTGCAGAATACAAATGGCATCATACTACATCACTAGTCTCTAGTATCTAGACGCAAGAAGGAGTGAGCAGGTGGAACTATCCTTCAACAACACCACAGGTTGTACCGTTCCTACCTATCAATTTTTCGTTTTTTTGTAATTTTTTTTTTAAATTCTTAGATTTAAATTAAACTCCTTGATTCATTGGCCATCCATTCCCCCAATTTTCTACGTAAGAGCTTCTCCGTTGCCTTCGCTGTGTGAGTTTCAGGTGGATGCCCCGAATCCAGGCAAGGCGAATCCTTGAATTTTCACAGAAGGTTGTAATTGGCACATCAAGGACAAAATGTATCAAACCAGCTGTAGTAAAATCTTCAATTCACTTACCGCGGCGCCACACTCCAAAATCTGTATGACACTGTTTTACAATACAGACCAAAGCGCCTTAAAACAGTTACCATTAATGCCGGGTTTAATGATAATAGGCTGCATCCACAAGAAATTGAGCAGACGTGGAACAACTTAGTTAGGTTGTAAGAAATTTATAATGTTAATTCAAACGTTTTCGCACATTCTGTGCATCATCAGGGTTAAAAATTTTTTACAATATTTACAAAACGATCAAAGATCTGAAAAATGAGAAACGTGTCTAAAAAGGCTCTAAAACTTTTAAACTAATCAAATTTGAACAACTGTAATTACATAATATAATTACGTAATCATGAATAACAGTTTCCTGTAAATTTCTGAGATTTTTTAGTTTTTTGTTCTTTCTGGTTATAAAATTTCGATTTGGGAACATTTTTGATTCTGACATGTCAGTTTTATAAATTTTAGCCATGTTATACATAGACTATAATTTTAGTGTTAATTCCCGTCTCCTGAATTAATCGCGTGTGTTGATCTTCGGCCTCTCCCTCCAAATATGCAAAGCCTCTAGTGTCAGTAGCTTATGAGTGTTGGCTGTTTGGTCTATAATCTCTGACTTCAGCTCAGCAGTACCGCCTACCTCCTTATTACATTCTAACAAGTGTTGTCCTATTGGGGAGTCCGCTTTGCGGTGTTCATCGACCCTCGTGGCTAAATGTCGGACTGTCTGACCGACATAGGTGGAGTTACATCCACTACATGTAAGCTTGTACACCACTTTGGATCTCAGTTCACGAGCAAAGGAAGTTTTGAGGGACGGCAAGCATGTTTTCAATTTTCTTGTTGTAAAAATTATTTGTGCCCCGGATATTAGCCGAACCTTTGCAGCTAACAGTTGAGATGGATTGCCTCGATATTGCATTGTAAGAAGGGGTGGTGAGTCGTTCAACCATTTGTCATTTTTCGGTTCTGATGCCTTCACCTCTGAATTTTTCTTTCCCTCAATGATCTTGTTAAGAGTTTCAAACACTACCCTGTCAGACCAATTTTTTGGATATTGATTTTCATTCCATAGTTTCCGATTTTTTTCCAATGCCTGGTCAAAACACTCCCATGTTGAGGTACTTCTGAAAACCCTATGAACCGTCCCTTCAATAACGTTTCTTTTGTACTGCAAAGGTGCGCAGCCTCTGAAATTTAGAATGGTGCCGGTATCAGTGGGTTTTTGGTACCAACCACATTTGACCTTTTTTTACTGAATCCACGTTGACATTTAAGTCCAAAAAGGCCAAATTACCGTTACTATCGACTTCTTCTATGGTGAACTGCAAATTTGGATGCAACTTATTGGCAGCCTCGAGAACTACCCCAGGATAGCCCTTGACCGTTCTAACTATGTGGTCCACATGTCTTAGAAAAACTTTAACACCATTCACAGTCCGATCTGCTTCCCGTTGTTTTTTGCAAGTCATGCAATACCATACTGTTTCAGCGAAGTCTGCGTATTCGGATTCCGATATGTTACCACACCCTAAGTGGTACCAATTCAAACAAGCTTCGCATTCTACTCCTTTTGTCCTATAAGTCACCTTTTTCTGACATCTAGGGCACACTTCTTTGTTACCCTCACTTAGCACAGTCAATTTTGGTACTTCTTTATTTAATGCAGGTTCGTATTCTTTGAGCCACAAACTAGCCAATATTACTGGAAGGGAGGCGCCCATTGCTAAACCGTCTTTTTGTACATACCACAAACCATTGCATTTAAAGTGTACCTTACTCACTGCCAAATTCAGTAGTTTTTTCATAGTCTTGGGAGATGTTTCCGGAGGGTTGACTTGCTCATATAATCTCCTCAGGGCTATTTCAACCGCTTCCTTGAGCGGGACATTAGTGTACAAACTCTTTACATCAAAGGAGATTATACTCTCGTCAGAGTCCAACTCAGTTTTCTCCAAGATCTCCCTGGCCATTTGGGTGTTCGTATCTATGTTTGCCTCCTCAATTTCATCAAAGTACTTTGCCAATATTTTATTTAGGTTGTCATATGAACTACCAGGTAAAGAAAGGACGGGACGAAGTGGTGCGCCTTGTTTGTGTACTTTTGCTAATCCATACAGTCTAGCCGGCTGCACTCCCGTTGATCTCAACCTATTATACATCGCTTCGCTAATCTCGTCCCTCTTTTGCATGGCGAGTAATTCTTTGTTTATGTCTTTTTCAATTTTCATAATCACGCTGTCTGTCAGATTCTTCCTCTCACTAAATTGTTCTGCCTGTAATAAGTCTTTCAGTTTTTTTCTCATATGTCTCTTTTTCATTACACAAAAACCCACCCCCTTATCAAATGGCACTGCCAGAAGACCGTTGTCCTTCAAATAATTTCTGGCTTTTTCAACACCTTTGTCAGAGGGGGTCTGTTTCACATTCTAAGCATATCTCTTTGCCGCTGCTTCAATCTCACATAGTTTTTCTTCGGGTATTCTATTTAACTTCAGTTCGGACAAAAAACTATCAATGTCAGCAAGGAAGTGAATTTCATTGAATTTGTCTCGTACCGGATGTTTTGGTCCAAAACTTAAGACTTCCCGCACCCAAAGCGGCAAAATCACTTCATTAAAATTCTAACTGCCCTTTCATCCAAGTTTTTTAATGGATGAAAGTTGATTTCCTTAATCAACCTAATCACAAAGAAGTAGTTGCCCAAAACCCATGGTTGATTCCTTTAATCAACCTAATTACGAACAAGTTCCAGCCCAAAACCCTGATTAACGCCAAAACAATCCAAAGCTCCGATAACAATGATGTTAACCGCATACTCTACATTCATAACCATGTGCTGTTTAATTTAATCAATAAATTTTTTCAATCACACACACTCATCGTTTCGCCCAATCTTAACTTAAATCTAACCCCTAAAATGTTCTGCCGAGATGGCATCCAATTCTCGTTCTTTGATACTGAATTCTTTACAAATTTTCTTGTTTAG